GATAAAAACAGATATAATTAATGTAAAGGTAGAAAGAAAAGTGTTTTATAATAGGTCCAAAAATAACTATATTAAAATACAAAATATAAGTCAACATTTAGACTTAGGGAAGAATCTAAAATGTTGAAGAGATTTCTTTTATTTGGAAAGCAAAGGGGAGTGGTTCGTGTAAATGGTGGCTTTTGAAAATTGCTAGGTTTTGCACATGGGGATTGAGATAGGAAGCATATTACAAAGGGAAACTCTGTTATGATTTAAGCAGTCCTTAAGTGTACTTGATTTAAAAGTTTGATTTTATTATTGGATTTGAGCAGAAATTGAAGATATGTTCTGCTATAGTAGAAATAACAGTCTTTAGAATCAAACATGGGCTTGCATATAAAGTGTCTCATTTGTTCTTGTGGGAATGTGGATTGCTTAATCACTTTTCCTGTGTCTGCTCGTATGGATAATATTTTCCTCAAAAGGTTTTGAAGTTAAAATTTAAAAATTGATATGACTTGTCTAGTTCTCAGTGTAAACCTGCCATGTAGTTGGCATATAGTCAAGGTTACTTCCTAATTTTACCATTAAAGTTAAAATTAAGACTGAATTTCAAAAGTTGTTTAAGTTGATGGATACATTTATTATATAGGCTTCCATGTTATGCTAGGAAGAAATAATTTTCCTGTAGTAGCTGCCAGTTGTTACTTCATTGATTACTCCTTAAATTTTAGCAAGAATTGATTTTTAGAAAATTTCTTGTGGATGTTTCGGTCAACTTGAAAGGGAAATAGGAGATTAAAGGTGAAAACAATTTTTAAACTCATTTGTGAGTTTAAACTTAATGTTTAAAATCATCGCAGTATGGTAGTAGTGAAATAGTTGGCAGAAAAACATTTGTCTATCTATCTATCTATATTTTTTTTGAGACAGAGTCTTGCTCTGTCACCTGGGCAGTGGCCTCACAGCTTACTGAAACCTCAAACTCCTAAGCTCAAGTGATCCTCCTCCCTCAGTCTCCTGAGTAGCTGGAACTACAGGCATGAGCCACCACACCCAGCTAATTTTTCTGTTTTTTGTAGAGACAAGGTCTCGCTCTTGCTCAGGCTGGTCTCGAACTCCTGGCGTCAAACAATTCTCTCACCTCAGCCTCCCAGAGTGTTAGGATTACAGGCGTGAGCCACCTTACCAGTTGAAATACCATTTTTTATTACAACTGTCTTGCTCAAATTATTTTGAAAGCATATTATGACATATTGATGATAATTCCATGTTGTCTGTGATAATTTTGAGTAAAGTAGAAATGATAAAGTAATTGCCTAATTGGCTGTTTTTTTCTTTGGGAACATCAAGTACATGTGGATTGCATGTCTTCAGTTACTCTTTTTTTAGGTGAATGTTAGAATGTTAAAGTACAATTTATATTGTGGATTAAATATTTTATTTAATAGAAAGCATCTCTAAAATTAATTGTGATAGAAGTCATTGGCAAAGTACGATTTGGTATGTAAATTTTCTTTCTACAAGTTCATAATGAATATAACTGAAAGCAACTGTTTTACTGGGATTTTTATCTATAGAGAACTCTATAGAGTTCACTTTTTCTTTTGTGATTGTTCAATTTTCTTTTCCTATAGCCTGCCCATCCTCAGTGTCCGTTGAAGTAAGTGCAGATGGAGTAAATATGCTACCTTTGTCCACTCCTGTTGTCACAAGTGGTCTCACCTATATAAAAATTCAACTTGTGAAAGCCGAAGTGGCTTCTGCTGTCTGCCTTAGACTACATCGTCCACGAGATGCCAGCACATTAGGCCTTTCCCAAATTAAATTGTTGGGCCTCACTGCTTTTGGTACCACTTCTTCAGCAACAGTTAATAATCCCTTTCTTCCATCTGAAGATCAGGTATCCAAAACAAGGTATGTTTTATTTCTCATTCTTAAAAAAGTTTTCTATGCTTTTCTCGAAACTATTCATTCTGTGGGTTTTTTTCTTTTTTGGGTCTTAGGAAGTTCTTTGTTCCATAAGTATCAATGTAACATAATCTTATTAGGTGTCATAGAGACAATTTTCTGGAAGCACAACCCTGAGGCTAATTAAAATTGAGATTTATGTATGTTTTATCTGTGAGATGATCCACACTATATGTGAGTGTAGGTACTAATTTTTTGGATCATAGTCAATCATAGGATTCCCAAATGACTATAACCAGTTCGTCTGAACCATACCAACTGACCTTAGAAACAGGGACACCTAGTTGTATGTGGTAATTCCTAAATGTCACTTAACAGAAAGATTATATCTGAACCAAACAAACCAGAACCTTAATATATCCTTTAATCAACATTTTTCTGATAAATTTTGATAGTTGATAATTTTATAGATGGGTTTTATTGTTTGCACGTGTAGTTCCAGCTACTTGGGAGGCTGAGGCAGAGAATCACTTGAAGCCAGGAGTTTGAGATTAGCCAGGTGTGGTGGCTGACACCTGTAGTCCTAGCTACTGGATAGGCTGAGGTGGGAAGATAGCTTGAAGTCAGAAGTTCGTGCCTGGGCAATATGGCAAGACCCTATCTCTTAAAAAAA